TAAGTGCACTCATTCAAAGCATTCCTGTTTCCACAACTTAAATGTCACTTGATTGTTTCAGAGACTATTTTTTATATATTTATAATAAATATCTATTTAATATAATGTGTATATATATATATATACATACACACGTATATATATATAAAATACTAGAAATAAATGTTTGTAATAAATAATATTAATTATTAAATTTTATAATAGATAATTTTATACTAGATATATTTATGATAAATATGTAATTCTATATTTATTTACTTAATAACAAATGAATATTTATTTATTTGGCAAAATCAGTAGTGAAAAGAAACCCGAATGGTTATAAACTGTGTATATTTTTGTAAAAAAAAATTAAATATATTATATATGAAATATATACAAAATATATATCATAAATATAAAAATACATATATTTTATATATAAAATATATTTTATATAGTTTATATATAAAATATATATAGAATATATATTATATATATATTTATTTATTTATATAAAATATATATCCTATGTATATTTTATATATATATATATATACACTGACTGCTGTCAGACTGAGTCTCCTTTTTTCTCAACCAATAACATTACATGTACCAGCTCCACTTTTCGGTAAATGTCAAATGAGTTCATATTTTGCTAATGCCAAATATCACACACCTCACATGAAACAAAGATCCAGGCTGCTGCAAATCAAGTCCATGATTTCCCACTAATCTCAGGGGGAGGTTATAAAGCTCATCAAATGCAGGATGGTTTCCCCAAGAAAAGAAAAGGAAAATAAAAAAACAATAAATCAAGATCCTCTCTTGTCAAGGTGAGTAGTCTAAAAAGATTCTAACAATGTAAACTTTTATCACAGCTGAAAGACTTTCCTTCTATGATCAAAAAGCTGTGGTTTTATTTTTTTATTATTATACTCTGATTTTAAAGCAAAAATTTTAACCAGATTTCTGATTTTAAGGAAGTTGCAGAATTAAAGTTTAAAATTATTTAAAATTCTGTCACTGTGCCCTACTTTGAAGTTTCAGCTTTTTATATATATAAATATATAAGTATAAATATATATACATATATATGTATAGATATATAATATATATCTATATATACATATTTATCTCTATTTATAGATAGATATATTGATATTTATATAATTTTTTATATATATACATATATATTTACACACAGACATTTACGTACTTTATTCAACCAGACATATATTTTTACCAATATAAAACTTTGCTTATACTCTTTAAAATAAGAATATTCTCATGGGGGATTGCTCTAGTGCAGAAAAGGCAGTAAAATTATATAGTTACAGCTTGAAAAATGTATCTCCAGCTATGACTAAATTTATTTAGAGGACTTTTGCTCTGGCACAGAAACCCCTGTTTTTCCTCACTCCCCTATTATTGAATTTCAACCATAACAAAGTGTGAATATGCAGTGAAACTACCCTAAAAAAAGAAGCCACCACTACTCCAAAAGGCTCAGCCTACAGCTATTTTCTTATTTTATCTTCACAAAACTCCCTCATCCTCAGCAGACAGGCCTGTCCAAAGGTGTATTTTCCATAATAGAAACACCAGGTTTATTTCACTCTTCTCTGGGTTTTCTTTTTTCCCTGCAAGTAAATGGGCTGTTGCACCTAAACAGGAAGATTTTTCTCTTTAAAAATTAAGGAAGGAGTTTTTCACTTGGATTTGTCCCCAGGCTGCATCCTGGTATTGTTGGTACCATCGCCAGCAGCCTCATACAGAATATTTTAAAAGTCTAAACGGGCTTAAAAAGCTGGTTTAGTTAAAAAATAAACAAACAAACACCCAAAAAAACCCTCAAACGTGCTCTTATACACCTAAGGGGCAAGAAGCACTTCCCTCTTTAAATCACAATGCTTGCCAAAAAATTTGAAAGTATGAAAACTTTCAAAAGAATAATCATCAACATGAAGCACAGAGAAGCATATTATAGGTGCTATAATATTAATCACTATTTATAGCTATATTTTTAACTATTTTTTATTATTTTGCAGCTGCCCTTAAAAGCAGGGAACTGAAGTGATGCTGTAAATTAAACCCAACAGAAAGTTAACACTAACTGGACAAAGTAATCAAATACAAGCACTTTGTAACAGTCTAAGTAACTAAAAGTTACAGTCTAAAATGTAAGTTACAGTCTAACTGTATCTAAGTAACTGAAACCCGAGGGTGGGAGCATCGCTTCAAGATAAAATAATATTTAAGATTACGTCTCTTTATGCAAAACAATTGTGCAGCAAAATTGCCTTTAGAATACCTGTTCAAACATTAATTAGTAGAGAAACAAAATGAAATTAAATTTAATGACATGAAATGGTTGGACAAACTGATTCAAAAGTTGCACAGACAAAACTGCTGTCGCTGCCAGCACAAGCAAAGGGAGCTGTAATAAATATTCTGTTTTTAAATGACACTATGCTTAAATAAACTGACTAAGGAGTATTAAAAATACATATAAAGAGAACTCTATCTCAGCTGACTGAACTACATGAAAGGCACAAAATAAAAGTGGGACAAGGAGCCCAGGACATGTGAAGTGGCAAAGTAGTGCCTTACTCACCAGATTTATGCTGGTGGTATTCCATGGGTTCTCCGCTACTCTCTGTAAAATCAGAGTCAGGCCCGGAGGATACAGGACCTTGCAAATGGCTCAGTGTAGGCCAAGAAACCAGTTCTCACCTTTGCAGTGCATATCCATAAAGAAATTACTTCTAAAACCAATATTTCCTTCAGCAAAGAACGCTGTCCTTAAGCTGCCCCCAGCTCCTGATTGATGCCCTGCAGCAACAGAGTGCCCTGCTGCCCACATACAGAGCACAAAACTCAGCCCCCACGTTGCTCCACTCATTTCTCTTCATCCCATGATATTTAAAATAAATTTTTCACTAGGGAACAAAGCCTCCTCAAACTCCCTCTTAGGAAAAATACAAGAAAAAGAAATCAACAAACCACACAGATGCATTGCTTTAAAAGACAGCAACAAAGAAAAGCAGACTGTAAAACCAAATCAAATCAATCCTGGCAGCTGCAGCAATGTAGCACTAACAGAACCAGAACACAGTAAAAAGATCATGGTTTCTCTGTTAATACTGCTTTTACCAATTTTCTGTTAAGATTTCTCACTTGATGACAGCCACTTTCAGATGAACACACAAAACTTCCATTACAATCCATTAAGAAGCCAAATAAAGGCTCCATCTGAGGCTACCACATAATCCAGTCTCCCCCCAGCAATAATTTTGTTTCTCACATCACACAAACCCTCAGCACACCCAGATCTTCCCTTCCTTGCTGTCCACCTGGTGGAGGATCCCCCCTCTCTCCTTTCTCAACAAGTTTTCTAAAATCTGTATTTGCTATCCAGACCTGCACCTGGACTCAGCTCCTGCACTGGAACATTTCTATCTCTGCTTCCATTGGCAATCTGAGACTAATTCATTGCCAGTTTTTCAAAATTTTGATCTCCCTTTCATGTGCCACACCCTCTGCTGAACCAGAATTTCTGATTTTAAGAAAGTTGTAATATTTAAGTTAAAAATTATTTAAAAATCTGTCGGTACTTTGAAGTTTCAGTGTTTATTTCAGCTACAGGGTTTTTCCAAACAAGTATCTTTCACGACATCCATCAAGTCAGTATCATTTTACACTATCCCTTAGAGGAGTGCCTGCATGTTTGAGGTTTTTAAACAAAGCACGAGCAACTTTTACAGTGCTGAACACCACACTTAGTCCTAAATTCAGCTCCCGCTGAAGTCAATAGCCATAGGAAGGAGTTCTTTAAAACTGCTTTCTGATTTTCTTTTGTTTGCTTTGAATTCCTTCTCTAAATAAGATTTGTACTTAACGTCAGTCAGAAGCCCAGCCTGGAGTGCAAAACACACAACAGAAATTTGCTGGCAAAAGGTCTGAAAAGTGAATCGAGACGCGGAAATGTTTCTAAAAATCAAAGTTACATCATCATCGTGGCAGCAACAAATCAAACGTAATTAATGGGAAGTTTTCCACCTTGAAAAGCGAATGCACGACAGACAGACACTCGTCAGCATCCTTCCTAAAGTTGCCTTTAGGAACATTGTAACCACACGAAATCCTATTAGAAGGTGCTGAACTCCTACATTGTGACTCTTCCGGCAGGCTTCTACATAACAAAAATGCAATGAAGTACCATACAACTTTCCCCCCTTATTATGCAAAATCCTTATCAAATTCAATAGTGTGACATGGTTCAAAATCCTGCCTAACAATGGCTCGCAGGATGTCCAGGGATGTCGGCTTTGTTTTTAGTTTCACGTGCTTTTCAGTCTATTAATGCTAAGGAAAAAAAAAAAAAAAAGAACCTTGGCATAAATAACCGATAGAGATCAAAAACCCCACTGAACAATGGGAAAGAAATTCAGAGTTGGAACCGGTGCTTTGCTGGGCGAGCAGCCCTTTGTGCCTAGGTGCCGACCCTGGGTGTCACGGCAGCCGGCAAGGAGGAGGTGAGGGAAGGAGGAACCTCCATCTCCCCTCTCCCCACGGTGTTCCCCGGGCTGGAGCTCGCAGGGAGGTGCTGGAAGGGTTCGCAGCTCCCCGGAGGAGCCGCGGGGCAGCCCCGGCTCCTTTGTGCGGCAGGTTGCGGGTGGAATGTGGAATGCGGCACACGTTCCTCTCGCCACCGCCAGGACAAAGGATTCACTGATGGGGGGGACAATTAGTCCCAATTAGGCCTATTTCGCAGCTGAGTGTAAGCGCTGGGGGAAGGGAGCTGAAATCTTACAGCAACGGGTCCCTCAGGCCAGTGGAAGCCACATCAGTGAAGTGACAAGCTTGAGTCCCACCGAGGTGGTGGCACCTCCATCCAGGAGACGATGGAGCGCAGCTCGCACACAGCGGGGCCACAACCCGCTAACCATTCTGCCTCTCGGCTGCCAAGGCAATTTCCCAGTTTTCCAGCCCCTCGTGGAGCAGCAGTGGATACTCACATGTGCACGTGGGGAGGCTGGAAGCGGCTCTGGTTGATGTTGTAGTGCGTGAACGCCTGCGTTGGGTTGGAGCTGTACTCATCCACCGTTATGGTAACTTTGCCTTGTGAAGGAATTCCATGAGCCATCCTTCCTCCTTATGGACATGAGCAGCTCACAGCTTGCCAAGGCCAGGGGCAGGGCAGGGCATCGTGCTCCGGGCAGATCCCGGCTCCCAGCAGCTCCGCATCAACTCCGTGACCTCTGCCGGGAGAGACAGACAGCGCACGCTGCTGTGAGCCACAAGATGTAAACACACACTGACCCACTGCTCCCAAGCTCTCGCGACTTCCATGCAGATTTCAGATCTTTTTCTATATTCCCGATGTACCCATCACCCCTCTCCACGAATTACTATTCACTTTGTTGGTTTTTTTTTTTTAATTACCTCATCATCCAACTCCATCATCATTAGACATATCCAAAGGATGAATGCTTAAAGTAAGGGTTTGTCTTCAGGGGGTGGGGAAAGGGGGAATAAAATATCCGTGTTGAAAGCTCCAGTTAAATACTCCCCATTTCTTATCCTTGATTTTAAATAACATCTCCTGTTAATTGCAACCACGAAAAACTTGCAAGTGGACCCAGCTTCCTGAAGGACAAAAGGCTTTCCACAAACATGCACACTTGTTTTCAAGCTGCTGTGGCTGTGGAACACGAACAGCTGAGAAGCTTACAAGAAACTCATGTAAAGAACACCAGTTACAATTGCACAGCTAAAGGCACACCCAATACCTTCAAATCGAGGTGTTTGAGTGCCCAGAGAAAGGCGAGTACGAAGGCAATGTTAACAAAATATCCGGATTACAGCATTGAAACTAGTTTGGGCTCACTGTTAGCAGACAGCAACAATTTATCTGACTTTAGCGCGATTTTACGCACAAACATTTCTGCGTAAAATGAAAGAAACAGGCTCTTCCCTCTCTCTGCATCCCTGTCTTTGGCTTCTTCAGAGTGCTCTTAAACACACTTTGAGCTAGGCCTGGATGTGTGTGCTGTGGTATCAGTCAGAACCTCCCAAACACGCCCCGCTGTGTGCGCAAAATCCGAGCTTGGATTTCTGCGGTCCATAACTGAGGACACCTCAGGTTGTGATATAGAAAAGCTGCCTTCCTTTCAGAGGGCATCTGTGGCAATGGATCAGCCCGTGGTCGAAGGATTCCAAGATGAGCAGCTCTGTAGAAGCCCCGTTTAGAGGCAGGTCCTCAGCTGGGACACAGCTGCAAGGACTTGGGTGAAATCGCCACTCTCTGAAATTCCTCCCTTCAGCTGCCACCTGCAAGAGTGGGCTTCCCCTGTCTGGAGAGCGTTTCACAAAAGTAAATCCTTGCTTACTGGGAAGACAAAGAGAGGGGAAAGAGAAGAGCCCTGAGCATCCAACCAAGCAATATTCTTCCAGTGCAACTTCCCTGGGCTCCTCTAGCTCCCAGATAGAAATGTGCTTGCCATGTGTAACGCTAAGCATTTGAAATCTTTGATTTGTATTCAAAATATATTTTTAATACAAAGACTAATTTCCAGTTTGGCAAGAGGCACGATGAAAACGCTCTGCAAATGGCAGATGGCCTGCTATAGGCCATTTATTTTACTATTTTACCACCTCAGGCCTATGTAGGCTTCCATATGTTGGTTGGGTTGAGACATTCTGCAGACTTCATTCTAGTAACTGGATTCTAACCTTCATCTTCTTTAGCATTGGAAGGAAAAAAAAAAAAAAAAAAGCAAGAGGAAAAAATTAACAGGGAAAAAAATACGATGAAGATGAAATGAAAAGGAAAAGCAGCAATTTCAAAACTGTCACTAGAGATGGTAGAGCGCTGTAACTGTGGTCACAGCCTGGTCCTCCCCTCTGAGACCTGGTGGACCTCTCTCATGAGAACAAAGTTTCAGCAGCAGGAACCAGCAAGGGTGAGCTCTGCTGGAACACATCTTTGCCGTGCTAGATGCGGCAGAAGATGCTGCAAGAACTGCTCACACAAAGTAGTGGCTACCACGCCAAGTTTGCAGCTGTCTCCTGAATTTCCTTTACAATTACACTTCAGCGTTGTTTTGCATAACAGTAAAACACAACACCTGCTTCAAACTGCAATCCTGTTCCAAGCACTGCTGTGCTGCTGTTCTTTTGAGATAGGAACTACGAAGAGTGAGCAAGAGCAGAGCAGAGCAGCATAATTGCCCTGCACTGAGAAGTACATACAAATGAAAACATCTTCCTGCCACAGAAATGACTGTCATTAACAAGACAGGCCATCAGAGCTACCAGAACAAAAAATACAGTTTTTCTTGTACGCTGCAAGAACTTTGGAGCCTTCATATGTTAAGAAGTAGTGTGAAAATTACATGCATAATGTTATTTTTTTTTTTCTGCAATTAAAAGCAGCAATATAAAACAGTGCATTAAACCAACAACAAAAATATGCTTGGGCTTTCAAAAAAGCTAAATGACACTGTTTTCAACAACCCAGCATAAGAAAGGTCAGAACATTAAATTTCATATTATAGTTCACTCATGGAAGAAAAATCTAATTTGTTCATGAGAATGAATTATACATAAAGATAATAGGCATTTTTTACAATGTTTGTAACAGTCCATGTTACTGAAAGAAATTACAACTAACTGGCATAAAACAAATGACAAGAGGACACTTAAACAGCTGCATTAAATACTTTTAAGTTGACTCTCAGTCAGATTATAAGTGTATAAGCCGCAATTGCTTCCCATTGTTCTAATCTTTAATCTTAAAAATAAATCTGTACTTAAATTGAGACAAAGCTGAACAAAGCATCTTTTAAAAATGAAATTCAACAACATGCCAGACTGGGAGTAAAAAAAATACATAATTTGAAGCTGGCTTCTGTGCCAATTCTCTTAATTTCCATTTAATACTCCATAGAGTACTACAGCTCAACTATCAGAAGTATCTAATTATTACCTTCTTTACTGTGAACGTCTCTGAAGAAAATAGAAGAAAGAAGCTGAACACTTCAAAACTTTAAAACAAACGCATCTTAGGCCCAAAATTTAAAAAAAAAAAATTAAAAGAGACTTCTTCGAATCGCTACCATTCTTTCTCCAACTATGAGCACTACTTGAAGGTTACACATGGGAGATGAGTATAAAAAAATAAGTGTTGGATTATCTTCCCATCTATCAAGGAAAAAACAACGCGTGATATCTTCTGCGCCTTTCGAGGCAGTTTTGAGCAAGAATGCCTATATTAAAGACCCAAGTGATGCTTTTTCAGCACGCTGCCTTTCCCCAGCTACAGGCTGTTCTCCTTTCGCAGCGTGTATTTGCAGCAAGACAGGAGATGTGCCATTGTACACTCTGCCCAGCCTTACAGGTATAGACAGGCACTTTTTCGGAGCAGGGCTGGCCCAAACGTGAGCTCAGCTATTTGTAAACCCTGTCAAAAAACTGCCACGAAATCTGCCCAGCTAGGTGAATTTCAATGCAGCCTTGCCTCGCACAGAGAGCGGCTCACACGAAGGCACGCGAAAAAACCATTTCCCCAAATAAAATATTTACGCCTCCCTCATCTGAATTTCAAAAAATTCGCCTCTAGCTGGGCTCGGGCTGAAAGGCAGGAGCCGGGAAGGGCTAACCCCGTGTCAACACCTTGTGGTGCTCGGTGCGCTCTCCGGGCGCTGCTCCACCGACACGGCACCGCTGCACCCACCGGGGCCGCGCCTCGGCCCGCGGAGCGCTCCCGGCTCCCCGGGATGCTGCGCTGCAGTTTGCGCGCAACTCCGCGCTCCCGCTGCCCACGGCGGGGCCGCAGCCCGGCTCTCCCCGCCCCGTTCCCCCGGTACCTGGCCCCCGGCCGCTGCCCACCTCCGGCTGCCGGGCCGCCCCGGGCTCGCCCCCCGGTGATTGATGGCTCCGGGCGGCCAATGGCTCCGGCGCGGCCCCGTCCCGGCGTGTGCCGCCGCAGCCCCCGCGCCGCGCCCCCTGCCCTGCCCTGCCCCCGCCCCGCGGCACCGCGGGCAGCGCTGCCCCGTCTGCGCCCTACGTGCCGCGCCGCACAAAGTTCACCCGGCCCCGCGGTGCCACGCACCCACACACAGAGCTGCGGGGGGAGGATGCTCGGCTCGGCTCGGAGGAGGGATGCCATGAACTCCTCAGCAGCCGCGGGCGAGCGGGGGGTGATGCCCGCCGCTTTTTATTGCGGCCGTGCCGAGCCCCGCACCGCGGCCCCAACCCCTCCGAAGCCTCCAAGTGTCTGAGGCCTCCGGGATCACGGTTTCAGAGCGGCTTCTCTGCCGGCGAAAGGGCGAGGGGCAACTCCGCCGGGGAACGCCGAGCCAACCCGCCTTTCCCTCCTTACTTTTGCGGCGTGTCCCCCCCCATCTCCGCCGCCCCCATCCCCGGCTCCCTCCGCGCCCGCAGCCCCGTCCCCGCGCCCGCCCGCTGGCCCCAGCCAGCACAAAGCTCCCCGGCCTACCCTCCCGGCCCCGCCGCCGCAACCCCCGCCCCGACCCCGCAACGCCGGCCCGCACGCCGCCCCCGCCCCCGGGCCGCCCCCGCGCCGCCGGCGCCCCGCCAGCCCCGCAGCGGCGGAGGGCAGCGGGGGCACGGCCTGGGCAGCGAGCAGGGCAGGGCAGCCTCGCTCAGCGCCGCCGACATCGCCGCCCGGGCTGCGGGGAAGCGCCGGGGCCGCCGCTCCGACCCGACCCGACCCGACCCGGCGGGCTCGGGCGGTCACGGCGGGGGCGCGGGCGGCCGCGCTCGTCCCCAGCATTGTTCGCTCGCGGGAGGCTGGAGCGGCGCCGCCAACGCCGCCGGAGCTGCCGCCCGCCCCCCCCGCGCTGCCGCCCATGACACGGCACCTCTAACCCGCCGCTTTGTGCGCCGCTGCCCCCGCCGTGCCCCGCTGCTCCCGGCACCGGCCCGGGGCCGCTCACCTTCCTTCCCTCCCTCCGCCGGCTGCCGCTGCGGGCGGCTCGGGGACGCTTCAGCGCGGGCAGCGGGGCCGCTCCATGGGGCTGCGGGGGCGCGGCCGGGGCAGAGCCTGCGCCCGACCCCGCGGCGGCGCCCGGCGGCGGCAGCGGCGGCCCTGGCTCGGCTCCGGGTCCGGGTCCGGCTGCGGGAGCGGCAGCGGGGCGGCGGCGAGGGCGGGCGCGGTGCAGTGAGCGGGGCTGCCACTGGGGTCAGGGAGCAGGCACCAGGAAACACGGCGGCCACGGCGCTGCTCGCTCGCACACACACACACACACACACACAGAGACACACACAGAGACACGCACGGCTCCTCCCGCTGCCTCGCACTTCGCCCCCCCGGGCAGGGAGGGAGCGAGCGAGCGCTGCTGCATTTCCCAAGTGCCGCACAAGGCTCCCCGAGCTGCGCTCTCCCCGCCGGGGTCACAGAGCCCGAGCCCCCCGGGACCCCCGACCCTCCGAGACACGGCCGGCCCCGCAGCACGCATCGCCCGCTGCCCACCGAGATGACAAAATAAATAAGTAATAACAATTAAAACCCCCCAAATCCTCAGAACGGGTTTTGGCATCTTCCGCCGCACCTTCCGTCAGCGGGTGTTGATGCGGTGCCCTGCGCTCCTTTGTAGGTGAGCTCACCTCAGCGACCAGAAACACCAGGGTTCGCCTTTCAGGCCGAGCATTGTCTTAGGGTAACTGGGGCTTTCCTATGGAAATATAAAATCAGGGATGTGGCTGTTGTCTTTTATTTTTTCCCCCTTTTTTCCTCCCCCTCCCATCCCCGCCAAAATCACAGCAATTGTGTCAACAGCCACAACAGCAACAAAGATTTTACGTGTTTGTTCTTTTACCTTCAAGACAGCAAATGGAAAGGGGAGACTTCCAAAAATGTATGACAATGAGGGAAAAGACAGAAGAAAGACAGGAGGAAAGAAAGACAGAAGGAAAGAAAGGAAGAAAGAAAGACAGAAGGAGCAAGCCCAAATATTTTTTAATAGTTGGGCAGACGGAAGATAAAAACAGGCCTCTAATAGTGAGTATAAGTGACCTATATATTTTAAATAAGTAATTTTGACTCTGGCCAACCTTCAGATGTGCATGGCAAGCAGGCAGGTTTTCCTTTGTTGCTGAAAGCCACGAGAAGGGTCTCCTGTATTGCCAGGCAGAAATCCACTGGGATGGAATGTCCTGTTTAGAAACATGGCAAACTAAGAAAAATGAACCTGAAAAAGACTAAATGGCATAAGACATTTTCCCAAATTTACCCTTTCACTCTGATTTTTTTTTTACAGTCGTCATAACTTTTGAAAGAAGTGAGCTTTGCAAACCACAGGAAAATTCCTGTTTCGACAAAAAGGCCCAGAGATGAGTCGTCCTCCTGACCAAATCAGAGCAACACTTCCAGGGAAACTTTTCCTGGGATGGATTCTGCTTGAGTATTTTTAGCTGGCTTCCTGTGACCCAGCTGTGAAACCAGCAATCCAGCATCCCACCCGTGTCCCTGCACTCTGGTGGGAACAGAGAACCTCATCCACCAGGGAAACTGATCCACTCAGCCCCAGGAAAAACCTTCTGCTCTGCTGTGGGTCAGCCTCCTCGCCCAGCCACTGCACAAATTCTCCTGCTGGGACTGGACAAGCAGAGAGATGAGCAGCTGAGGGAAAAAAGGGAACAGGAGAAGCTCCTCTGGTCCCAGGAACACGAAGGGAGAGGTGACAGGGAGCAGGTTTGACCCTGAACCTGCTGCATCCCTTCTCCACACTCACAGCACCAGGACTTCTCCTGTTCTGTCTTTGCACATCTGGAACCCCTGGCACTACAAAAGGAACTCCTAGCACAGAGAAACAGGGAAGAAGCCTGGGCAGGGGA